CACTATTTCATTTTCTACACCAATGTGTATGTCTCTATTTCCCACTTACCCGCTAGGTCCACTGGACATTGCCCCCAGTCCGAGTGTGACTGCCTGGCCACTTCAACTTTCTTTCTCTTTTCTCCCCCTCTCCTCAACTGCTGGGTTTGCTCCAACAGCTGGCTTGTTTCACTCTCCCAGTGTCAGCCATCTGTGAACACTCACCACCATTTGCTGATGATCATCGACAGTTTGCTCTTTTGCCTGTTTTTGCTTCATTTGTGCTTGTTTGGCAAATATTGTTGTTGACAGTAATCTGGCTGAGAGTACTGTTTTTTTGCTGATCCAGCAGTGTATTCCCATCACCCCTCACCGCTCATCTTTCCACTCTAACCATCTTCACTGTCTCTGTAACCTCTCATCTCAATTTTACTATTTAACAAAATAAAATTGAAACAAAAGATTTATTTCTCTTTCTAGTTGATTCAAATATAATCTACCTTTAGGTGGAAGGTGCCAGAAGTGTTTTTAAAAGTCAGCTGCAGATGGCAGTCTTGAGTCAAAACTTGTGAGTGCTTCTCGAAGTGCCTCGAATCATCGAGGAAGTTCTCGCAGGAAGTTGAGCCGTTAGAAGGATAAACAACCCGTACTACGTGTCAGCTTACCCTCAACTGATGCTTTCACGTGATAGTAAGCACTTTTAGCACAAACAACGCGTTAAAATACGATTATAAGAATCACCTTTACTGAGTAATGTAAAGTTTAAAATAAGTTTACAGGAGTATGTACAGTTTACACAAATTAAAAATTACTAATATGTACAAAGATCAGACTAAGCAGAGCACCCTGCGGTTGAGGTAGCAAAGCAGTTGTTAAAATCAAGGAAGAATATCAGACAGTTTGTGTTTGTTTTCTTCGGAAATGGAAGTGGGAAATATGATGTCGAAGTTGACGATCAGGTCGCCTCGTTTAGCGGGCTCTTTCGGGTATGGCAAACCACGATTGGAGATGCGTCGGTGAGTGGAGGGACTGATGACCTCGGTAAAGCGAAGCAAAACGTCGTCGCCTTCCAGGGTTGGCACTTGCACCGTGCCTCCGCACAGCGCTTTTTTGAGCGAGACTTTAGCAGTATAGTGCACATCAACACCATCACGCTTGAAGTGTTTATGTGGCTTGTCTTTGATGATGAAAACAATGTCGGATGGAATTGTGTTGTGGTTCTGGTCGCCTTCTCGAGGAAAGGTGATCTTAGTGCCAGCCTTCCATCCGGGCTTGACGTTGACTGTGAGCACTTTGTCCTCTTTTCGCTCCATTCCATTAGAGCCAACAACTTTGCGATTGATTTTCATCTTTTTGGTGCATCCTTTGAGGACTTCTTCAAGGGTCACTTGCAAGTTGTGCTCGATTGGAGGGTCTTGCTTCTTCTGCTTTCTGGGCGCATTGAACGAGTTGTACCCAGATGGCTCAAAATCCATTCCGTTGAAGCTTTGACGAGTTTCACCGCCTCCGCTGAGATTGTTCATGTTGAAGAACATGTCGAAGGGGCTGCTATTGCCGAAGAACTGAGAGAAGGTTTGATGAGGATCACCATGGAAGGAGAATTTGTAAGCGCCTCCGCCTGGAGCACCTTCACCCATCGGCACTTGACCGTTGAGTCCCGCTTCGCCATACTGGTCGTAGACGTCGCGTTTCTTTTTGTCGGACAGCACTTCGTACGCTTCGGCGACTAGTTTGAATTTCTCCTCTGCTTCCGGAGTCTTGTTCTTGTCTGGATGGTATTTCAGCGCAAGTTTGCGGTAGGCCTTTTTGATCTCATCGTCGGAAGCATTTTTGGAGATCTCCAGAATTTTGTAGTAGTCTTTTCCCATTTTGATTGAAGAAGGTAAAGGGAGAAATGAGAATCAGATGAGTTGAAATGTGTCGTGGGGATAGCAGATACGATAGACACGAGGCTCGTTTGTGTAGTGTCGTGAAAAGGTTAGCGAGCTTTTCTCACTGCAAGTGTCACTTCGCCTTATATAAAAATCGCAGTTTGCCAGAAAGTTCTATTTTTTTCTGCCAGCACAAGATTTTCTACTGATTATCCGCCCGAGACTGGTGGGACATGTGGTTGTCAGGGGACTTTTACAGTGAGCAACGCTTGCATAGCGACAGGCAGAGCCGGACAGACATCTGCTGACAAATGGTCAGGACGACCACCTTGTGTCCCCCTGCTTACTGGCACAAACACAACCTATAACACTTCCCTTTTGCCACACTGAGTTTGCCCATAGAACGTAGTGTTTGGGTCGCTTGCGTACGTAAAGTTATACTGAAAATGTTGTGCTGTGTAAGGTAGATCCTTACGTTCATAGTCTACCCTAAATTAACGTTCATTGGCCCATCCCACTGTGGTAAAAGGGGATTTTAAGCGAATACTCAGAGAAGCTGTTACTCCCGCGAATTCTGGTAGCTCTAAAACTGATTTTGCCCATAAAGTTAAATAGTTTATTAAAGTTATTAAGTATAAATATTTTTGTTTTAAATCTGATTTAGTGATAATTTAAAAGTAAAATTTTATTGTTTTAAGAAAAGTTTTGTACATTTTTTTCTTATTTGAATGTAAGCATTAAATCAAAGGAACTTTGGTTACTTGTAGTTTCCTCATTTTATAAAAAAATCAGTGCCAGGTAAATTAGGGGACTTTGAAGAAATGTAAAAATACACTCTGTTGACAGAGCAAATAACGGTTGACCCAAAAGTTAAGTAGGCGGTGCAGAATAATCAATTCGATTATACGTTTTTATTTATCAAAAATTAACAACGGCAGTAAAGAGAAATCAGCACTAAAGGTAGGTGCACACACATCGAATCACTTCACTGGAACAGGTGGTGGTGTGTGTGCACGGCAAAGACCACTCAAGACTGTGATTGTGTCTGCAGTTGCACCTGTTCGAAGCATAGGGAAGACAGTGTAAGTGTGAGTGGGTTGTAATACAATAATGGTGCGAACACAATGCCACTCAGATTGATTCATTCACTCTCACCCACTCATATGTCATTCAACCAAAGTCGCCTGAAGTCATTCACTCGCACAGTGGCCATTGCCCAAGACAAGTGGTCGTCCACTTGCGCCAAGAACATTCGATCAGGCTGTCAGTTTTTTTAAAGTAGCTTTATATTCTACAAATTCTCTTTTTGGAATGGCACATTCATAAGAAGTGGGGAAACGGTGCACTGGCTCCGCTGTCTGTGCACAATGGCAGTTGTTCCATCGAAAGCTTTTATTCACCGACCTGCATCGGCTCAAATGACGCCTGGTGCTGTTCGGGAGAATCTAGCATTGCTTCTCTTTCCAGGCAAACTCTGCCACTGAGCGTGCACCTTGGCCTGCAGTGTACAGCAGCAGTGTACAGCAGCAGAAGTAGCAGCGACAGCAGAATCAGCATGAGAGAAACAGCGCAAATGCACCAACAGCGCCAGCAGCAGCAGAACCAGCAGAACCAGCAGAACCAGCAATTGCACCAAGAGANTGTGTACAACAGCAGAAGTAGCAGCGACAGCAGAATCAGCATGAGAGAAACAGCGCAAATGCACCAACAGCGCCAGCAGCAGCAGAACCAGCAGAACCAGCAGAACCAGCAATTGCACCAAGAGAACCATTTCTGTCGTAGCTGCCTTCAGTCCCTCTTGAAGCTCACTCTGCTCCGAGCTCTCGGGTTTTGGGTCGAGCCCACTTTTGTCTGGGCCGATGCCGTCGCTAGTGGCAGAGAGGCGGCCTACCCAGCTGCCACCGAGTTCCTCCAGTGGCTACCTGTGTCAGCAAGTGCAGCCAACCCGCATTCGCGTACATTCACTGTCGGAGGATCCAGCAGAGAGGCAATGCAGACCCGTGCTCAAGACTGGGCGATGAGGCAAATCGGCCATTTGCCGCCGAGTATCAACGTCAACCAATGGATGAACAGTGGAGTAAACAGCCCTGTCTGTGGTCACTTCCCACTGCTTAATTGCCCCTCGATTCATCTCTCCAGCCACCTGCTCACCCTCTAGTCTACTATTTCTGTTTGTCTACCTTCTTTCTCAACATCGTACCTGCTCACACCGTTTCTGCTCACCATCACTGCTGAATGCCCAAGCTGTTGAATGTGCTCATCACCACCACCACCTCTGCTCAGACCAGCTAATTATCGTCGTCTCATTCTTGAAATGTAAAGTAATCAAGAAGTGCCAATTACTATCAACCGAACAACCATCATCATCTTCCTTCTCCTCATCTCCCTTTGACGCATTGCCGTCGCTCTGTTGTTGATGGCCAATTTGTATGCCTGTTAGTGCCTGCGCCCCTGAACAGCGTATCTCTCCCTTGGTTCCGTTCCGCTGGGCGCACATCCCAGCGAACATAGAGTACAAGACCACCGCCAGCACGACCACAGTACACTGCTCACTGTGCTGTACGGCAGGAGAGAGAGAGAGAGAGAGAGAGTACACCACCGCGAGCGTACACCACCACCAGTGAGCCACAGAGACTGCCACTTTTTGCCGGTGAGCCCCTCTCAGTGTTTGCTGCCTTCAGCTTCGCGGCGAAACGTCTTCTTCGCCACTGGCAGACGGCGCTCCAGTAGGATCTGCAGACACTGTTTGTCTCTCTTGCTCGCCACCACTTGCATTCGGCCCTGCAATCGCCTACTGCTAATCTCCTGTTCTCACTCTCTCTCCCCTTCCGTGCCACTGCTTATCTGCCCGCCATCTGCGCGTACCGTTCAGTTTGCCAGTATTCCGCATTGCTCCCTCGTCTTCACCCCCTCTTTGCGTGCCTCCACTATCCTCCTTCAGATTGCTCCCGTTTCTTCTTCTCCTTGCTCTGCCTGTCCCCGAGTATCGGATTCAGCATTTAGCCAAACCGCTCATCGCCTCGCCACCGCCAGTGCACATATTGCTCCCAGTTCTTGCTGGTGATAAGATAAAGCCTTTTATTTTCGTACTGTCACTCAGTCGTATAAAGACAAACTCACAGTTTAACTTTCCCATACCACCGGCGGTTGAGGAGAATGCGAGAAGACAGCACTTGTCACTGTGCAAATAGTGTATTTATATTATCTTCTCAACCTGCGCTCATCTCACCCGCTTAGTGTGTTCTTACCACCAACACCGCCATCACCGCAACCACCGCCACCATGGCCAACTGGGCTCAGATTCTGGCTCTTCCAGAGTCCTTCCAGCGTCGTATCCTCACCATCTACGACCAGAACCAGTTCTTTCCCATCGAGGTACGCAAAAGCAGGGCCGAATGGATTGAAAAGCAAGACTGGTCTTTCTACTCGAACCCCAATTACTCCTACGACACCAACTATCTCGAGCGGTGCATCAGCCTGATGCAGGAGTTCATTCAGCAAGTCAACCAGCTGTTGTCAACGACAAATGACATCAGCGACAAGTACAAAATCAACAATTTTAAGAGCAACTTGCAATATGCAATCGAATCAAACAATTATGAGATCATCAAGCATGTTTATGAATGTTTACGCAATGAAAATGTCATTATTCAGCGCTATCGAGAGGTAAGCATTTCTGCACTTTGCCAAAGTTTCTGGAGATTGCCTAAGTTGTTGTCACAGTGTACTTTAATTGACAATTTTTCTTGTACAGGGCCTCAATGAGCGCAATCCATCTCATTTTCATCAGCTGGAAACGAAGTGCCAGGTAAACAGAGAAAAGATCCTCTACACAGAAGGCTTGCTGAAGAACATCAACACGCTGAAGGAAAACCTGATTATTAGCAAGTCACAACTGCCCGTACTTCAGAATGCCATTGCTCTACAGAACCCAAACACTACTGATATGACGTCAAAGCAGAACAAGATAATTGAGCTGACCAATCATATCAACTTCATGTTTAATGCCTACAAGACGTACAAAGATGAACTATTGCATAAGCATCGTGATATCATTACAGAATTGGAGTCAATTCTAAGCATTTTAATCACTGATCTCAACGTGTGGAAGAATAACCGAAAGTCGATGATCAGCAATGATGCCTACGATGACTTTCGACAGATAACCGAAATCTGCCAGAACTTTGCAAGCAACATCTGCCACATGTGGCCTCAGATTAAGAAGATGGAAACTTTGCTCATTGAAAACCAGGCCGAAAACTTTATTCCCGAGGATCACTGCAGAGAGATGAAAACAAAGATCATTATGATTCTGAAAAGCCTGGTTAATCAGACATTCATTGTTGACCACCAGCCCTGTCAGGTGATTAAGACCAACACCAAGTTGAAGAAAATTGTGGTCAACCTTCTTGTGGGAAACATTTTTAAGAACCACATGAATCCGTCAGTGGTAAAGGTGACAATCATCAATGAAAATCAGGCAAAGCAACTCTACAATGATCCAGATACCTTTCGAATGGACACTTGCAGTGGTGAAATTCTGAACAATACGACTGTTATGGAGTACAATCCTTCTTCGAAAATACTTTGTGCCAACTTTGTTAATTTGCAATTGAAAAAAATTAAGCGAACTGAAAAGAAAGCTTCTGAGTCGGTCATGGACGAAAAGTCTGCTCTCCTTTTTTCAACTGAATTTTTCATTGAAGAGGATCTACGATTCAATGTTAAAGTAAGATGATCTTAGGGCAAATAAGAGTGTGCATTTTTAACGTTGCTTTTTTTCTATTGTAGACCATTTCTGACCCTGTCGTAGTCATTGTTCACGTGAATCAAGAAGCCCACGCTCAAGCCACCATAACTTGGGACACTGCTTTTGCAGAGCCAGTAAGTGTGGTAGACGAAACTTGTTACACTGTTTATCAATATTGGCCTTTTTCAGACGAGGTGCCCGTTTGAAGTTCCACAAGAAGTGAGATTCGGCCTGCTGGCCACTGTGCTAAGTCAGAAGTTCTTTGAGAATACTGGCCGCGCACTCAGTGAGGACAACATTCACTTTTTGGCAGAGAAGATTTTTGGCAGCTACATTCCTGACCCTATGAACACACTGGTGTCGTGGTCTCGATTCTCCAAAGAGCATCTGCCCGGACAAACGTTCACCTTTTGGGACTGGTTCTACGCAATACTCAAGCTGACCAGTGACCACTTGCGTGACATTTGGCACGACAATCGCATCATTGGCTTCCTCACTCGCCCCCGTGCCGAAGAGCTGCTCTCGGAGAAGCCGACGGGCACCTTTCTGCTGCGATTCAGCGACACCAAACTGGGGGGCATCAGCATCGCCTCGGTAGACATGAACTCGGAGCAGAAGGTGATGATGGTCGATCCGTTCTGCAGTAAAGACCTTCAACTGCGCAAGCTGGCCGACCGTCTGCGTGACTTTGACCAGTTCACCCATCTCTACCCCAACTTGCCCAAAGACGAGGCTTTTGGCCGGTACTACTCTCAGGTGAACAATCAGGGACAGACCAACAATGGATACGTACGACCGATGCTGGTCAATTATATTCCTCGGTACGTTTGCTGGCTGATTTGGATTTCTTGCTTATTCGCACAAATGCACTGTCTAACTGTGATTCATTTTTGGTTTGCTAGCTTTCCCAACGCCCCTGGTGGCAATGCTGACTTTGCTTTGCAGGGACAGTTCTCAAACAGCTTTCCCATGGACTTTGGGTTGCCAAGTTTTGGCTCTACCTTTGAAAATCAATTCGACGCTAATGTGTACTCCGTCTCGTCGTCAAAGTAAGCGGCAATCGATTCCCCACTCGATATTATTACTCACTAACTATTCTAGTCCTCTCTCCCCTAGTGACGGCGTCTTTGATGAGGAGTACTAATTCTGCTAACTAACGGCTGGACTACAATTTCCTACCTGACTATACTCTCTTGACAAAACTTACTGACTTGTTGATTTTATCTTTGTTTCCCACACACTGGCGAATGAAATGTCTACCACCAAATTAATCATATTCTGCATTTATTGATGACAAATACAACCCTATTTCGTTGAACACTTGAAACCCTGACTT